CAGACTCTTCCCACCGTGCCTGTCCACACCCAACACACAGACCTGGCTTTGCCCTCACAACCTGGTGTAAAACACATGTGCAGATGTCTTCCCCAAGTCAGGGCTGAGCAGCTCGGAGCCAGCTGCTCCAGGCTCGCATTGAACTGATGCAATAACCTCAAGGTCTATCAGCAGTGCTTACTGCATCCCACAGACTCAGCGGTGAGACCAGGAAGCACGGTGTTCCCTGAGCTGCCACCTTCTGCCCCTCACCTCTGCTTCTTCCACCCCCACGAGACCATGCCTTGCTCCCAGGGCGCTGCAGAACATCCTGCAGGTCAGCAAAACTCCCCAACTTGGCTCACAAACGTCAGCTGAGCTGTCAGTGCTGACTTCAGCCTTCCCTCATCTCTGTGCAGGGTCTGGCAGCTGAGGTCTCTGCCCTAACAGAACCAGAGGGGAAGCACTGCTTGCTCCGGTGCAGCTGCAGGGCTCAGAGCATCCTCCCTGGGAAACACAGGGAAGCAGGGAGGGAGTTCCTGGTCTGTCCAAGAGAGTCCCAACTTGATTATTCTTTACAAATAATCGAGTTCCAGCTCAGAGCAGGAGAACGATGCGATCCTACCAGAGGGGTTGGCACAATTCTGCTTTAAATCTGTGCTGACAGCACCCGCTCAAAGCACAGCTCTGTGCTGAGAGCTCCCTGCTCTGCTGATGCTGGAGATGAGCTGCCCCACACGGCAGGAGAGCTGAGCAGAAAGGTTGTTCCCAGACACAGGCAGTGAGGGATAACCACAACCGCCTCATCTCTTCCCCGACAGCCACCAGCTGCTGTGTGCTGACTGCTTTCTGACAGCCTGCTTCTCCTCTGGGCTGAAGTGCAGAATAGTCAATATGGCAGTGAGAGTCTGCTGGCGGCCGAGGGAATCCGGCAGCGTCAAAAACTTATAGACGATGTTCTTCAGGTACTCCAGGTTGGCTCCTTCTCTGCTCTTATCTCTGAAGTTCTTCTGGATTTCGTTCTGAAGTGCCGACACCTCTTCCCGGTGCCTCTCTTCCTCCACCAAGACTTTCTCCTGCAGCTGGTGAACCTGCATTTCCAGCTTGTGCTTCTGCTTCCTCAGCGCGACGATCTCCACCTCCTTGCGGGCCAGCTGCTCCGCATACAGGATGAAGGTGGGCTCTGCGTTGGTGGAGAGGTGCAGAGCCTGGGGGAGGATCTCTGTGGAGCCGTTAGCCGGGGGATCAGCGCTCGCAGCGTCAGTCCCTGGTGCCATGTAGTTCTTGGAGCCCTGGAGCCCGGTGTAAGGCAACATGACGGATCTCAGCTGCTCCAGTTCTTGGTCCTTTTCGGCCAGCACCGCCAGCGCCCGGTCCCTCTGCTTGTGCATCTCTTCTTCCAGCCTCAGCGCCCGTTCCCTGTACTCCAACTGGCAGCGCTCCAGCTCCTGCCTGTGCAGCTGCTGCAGCTGGGAGAACTCTTGCTTCTTGGCTTCCATGTCCAGCTGGTGCTGCTTCTCCACCTCCTCGGAGGACAGCTGAAGCACCACGTATTTCTCCTTCAGGTCAGCAAGCTGCTCCTGAGCTTCCTCCAGTTCTTTGGCCAGATTGCCATCTTTGGCTGACTTGTTCTTGAGAACAACTTGCGCCCTCATCTTGTACCTTTCAAACTCTTCCTTCAGCTGCTTCAGCTCCTGCTGATAGTACAAAGCTGTGGCCTTCTCACCATCCCCGGCCTCAGTGCCCTTTGGCAGCTCCAGCTCACACAGCTTCTCAATGTCCAGCGTGGGCTGACTCTTCTTTGCTGCCGCCTGCAGCAGCTTCTTCAGCTTCTCCATCTTATCCTTGAGAACGTTCACATCCAGATTGGCTTCTTCCACGCTCACATCAGCAGGGGATCGGCTGGAGGCCGCGATGGCCAGGGTTTTGTTCTCCTGGTCCAGCTGCACGATACGGTCCTTCAGCTTCTGGATGATCATTTGGTCCTTCTGCTTGGCCTTCTCGTAGGTGCCCAGCAGCCCTGACACCTCGGAGACCTGTCCCTCCAGGTCAGCCACGCGCTGCTCCTCCATCTGGGCGTGCTGCCGGAGCTGCTCCTCTGCCTGTGCAGTCTGAGCAAAGAAAGCACAGAGCTCTGCAATTACAAAGGCCTTCATTCTGCTCTAAACAACCCCAAGCAAGAGCAGGGACACTCTTTCTCCTAATTTTCCAAACAACCCCCCACCCCCACAACTCTCTCATGCCCATCTTTAAAACAGAGACTCAAGGATGAAAGAAACTGAATGCATTTCCCTATTTGTTCCCTGCTCCACAGAGCTGCTGTTAGCAGCATTATCTGCATCGCTGGAGGCGTGCACAGGGCATGAAGCAGAACACCTCACAATCTGCAATGGGATTTTTTTTAAAGCGTGTGCCCTAAAGCTTTCCTACACCTAAGTGCAATTTGCCTAAACGCTACGCTCTGGTGCACCAATATCAACGTAATTCAGTGGTTTCTGAGTAGCTGCAGCAAACACCTGGAGCTCACAGCTTCTATCACAAGATCACAAGAGCAAGTGGAATGGTGGCACCGCTCGTCAGTCCTCACTGTGAGCCAAAACAGGGCTGGGATCGGCTCATCCTCAGCCCTGTCCTACAGAAGATGCTGGATATCACTTCCACAACAAGGTCGATCGCATGCCGTCACCCCAAAGCTGCTAAATAGAGGTTTCAGATTAGAAAGCTGAAAACTTGTTCCAGTCCGTGGGGAAATGAGGATCCCACGCTGGAGTACTTCCAGCTGCCAACTCGGTGATCGGCAGCAAAGCCCTCCAGCCCTCTGCCTCACAGCCTGCAGTGACAGCTTCCTCCTTCCCACTGCATCCCTCCTCCCAGCAAGATGTGCAACCCAGCACCTCGCACAGCAGGCTGCCCTTATCGCCCCCCTGCCTCACCGCTCACTGATTACAGTTCCACCCAGGGGGAGGTGGAAGTTATCTCCCTTTAAGAGGTACTGAACTGTACCTTGCATGGCATTTACAGAGGTGAGAGCACACTCATTGCCACAGCGGGTCGGAGCATTGGTCTCTCCTCCCAAATCCAGCTGCTGCTCAGAGCCAAGTGATGCTGCAGAAGACACTCACTACGTAACTCCCACACCCAGTGGTCACCACCTGTGGTTAACTTATACACTGCATCACTAACAGCTTTTATTTTCCTCAGGAAATATCATCCCATCGAATGAAGCTATGGTATTTCCTCCTATCTGAAATCTCTTGGACTTTGTGACATGAGGCAAAGAGGGAGAATTTGGGCTCCTCCAGCCTCAAACCCTGCTCCAGCTGCTGCCACGGTGCCCCCTACTGCAGGCTGCTCTAGGGCTCAATCAGGGAATTACCTTCCTCATCTCCTGCAGCAGCTGCGCTTGGAAGTGGTTCTTAAGGTTGACCATCTCCTCCTGCAGGTCCTGTACCCGGGGGTCTGGCTTCTTTCTCTCCTCCTGAACAGCCTGCAGCTCTCTCTTCAGGTCCTCCACCTCCTGGCTCAGCTGCTTGATCTGCAGCTCGTAGCCCTCCGCACGGTCAGCCATGCACACCCGTCCTGCCAGCACCTCCCTGGTCTCCTCCAGCTTCAGCTCTGCGTCCTGCCTCAACGCCCTCTCGCTCTGCAGCAGCTTCTGCAGCTCTCTCAGCATAACAGCGTGGTCGCTCTGCTCCTGGGCTCGGTCGTGCTGCTGCGTGATCAGACGGGCTTTGGTCTCAGCGAGCTGCTCCTGGACAGACCTCAGCTCCGCCTCCAACCTTTCGGTCTCATCCTCTGCTTTTTTAACAGCGTCATCCAGGTCCTGCTTCATCTTCTTCTTGTCAGCTTGGTACGAGGCTTCCATGCGGGACTTTTCCTGCGTGACCGTTGACAGAGCGCTGGTCAAGGTGGCCAGCTGGGTCTTCAGCTGAAGCACCCTCCTATCAGCCTCGCTGGCAGCACAGCCCACGTCCCCGCTGCTCGTGCTGACACCGCTCTCCGAACCATTTGTCTCTTCTGCTTTAAGAGAGGGTGCAGCTGCTGCGGGTTTCTCCTCCTCAGCGCCCTGCTCGCCCTTTGCACTGGCCAAGCTGGCCGTCGTGTCAGCGCTGGTCGCCGTCCCCATGCTGTCCTCACTGTGAACCGAGCTCTTATCATCAGTGGGATCAGCAGGAGAAGAGCAGGAGGCAGCCACGCGCGCAGGCTGAGCACCACTCAGGCCCACATCAGCCTCGTGAGATGCCGACAACACCTTCAAGCTGGCTTCTAAGGCTTCCTTCTCATTGATGAGGCTCTTGTAGGCGATCACCACGTCCTTCAGCCGAGCCTGGTAATTCAGAAGCTGCTTCTTCTGCGATTCAATGGTTTCCAGAAGTTCTTTCTTACTTGGGCCACCTCCGAAGTTCATGCCAAACTTCTCCATGGCTCTATGAAGGGAGCCGGGCCCTGGGGTGCCCGCAGAGCAGGAGGGGGAGCCCAAGGGCTGCGCTGTCAGGGAGGGCCGGGCCGGGGGGCTGGCAGGCGGCGGTTTCGGGCCTCCCCTTCGGACCTGGCCACGGCAGGCCGCAGCCTTCGGCCGAACCACCGGGTCGGGTGCTGGCACCCAGCGCGCAGGCGCAGACCCCAACCATCTACTTCCGCCTCGCTTAACCACTTCCGCCCGCCGCGTAACTACTTCCGCCCGCCGCCAGCGCCCAGTGAGCATGCGGGCTTTAAGTCTCGCCCCAGAGCGGGTTAAAAAAAGGGCGCTGCGCATGCGCAAAAAGAACAGCTCGGGGAGAGGCGTAGGTGCGGCTGCCAATCAGGTGTCAGAGCGGAGCAGGGCGAGCCGAGGGGCGGGGCTAAAAGCGTTGGCCGGTAGTACACGGTGCCGCGGCAATAGGAGGAGCCCGGTGATTGGAGGCGTGGCTAGTTGTGGGCGTGGTTAGAGGTATGGGCGGGGCTTGAGGAGGGGGCGGAGCCTTTGGCGCCGCGGAGCGCGGAGGCGTTGGGGTCGCAGCGCGGCCGCCCCGGCGCGGCCATCCCGGCCATCCCGGCCCTCCGGTCCGTCCCGCCGCCGCAATGGGCCTCACCGTGTCTGCCATCTTCTCCCGCATCTTCGGCAAGAAACAGATGCGGATCCTGATGGGTGAGAGCGGGGGTGGGGGCGGGGAGAGAGATGGAGGTGACAATGGGAATGGGGAGAATGGGGGGTGGGGGTGGGATGGGATGGGAGGAAGATGAAGGTGAGGATGAAGATGGGATGGGGATACAGATGGGAATGAGATGGGGATGGGATGGGATGGGGATGGGATGGAGATGGAGATGGAGATGGGGATGGGATGGGGATGGGATGGAGATGGAGATGGGGATGGGTTGGGTATAGGATGGGATGGGATGGGATGGGATGGGATGGGATGGGATGGGATGGGATGGGGTGGGATGGGATGGGATGGGATGGGATGGGGTGGGATGGGGTGGGATGAGGAAGAGGATGGGGATGGGGATGGGATGTGAATGGAATGGGAAGGGATGAGAGGAAGATGAGAGTGAGGATGAAATGGGATGGGGATAGGAATGGGAATGGGGATGAAGGGGAAGACAGGATGAGGATGCAGGTGAAGATGGGATAGGGATAAAGATGAGGATGAGGATGGGAGGAAGATGAGGATGGGAGGAAGATGAGGATAGGAAGAAGATGAGGGTGAAGACAAAGATGGGATGGAGATGGGGATGGGATGGGTATGGGAATGAAGGTAAGGTTGAAGAGGAAGACAGGATGAGGATGTAGGTAAAGATGAAGATGGGATATGGATGGAGACAAGGATGAGATGGAGATGGGTTTGGGGATGGGGATGGGGATGGGGATGTAGATGAAGATGGGATGGGAATGAGAATGAAGATGCAATGACAATGAGAATGAAGATGAAGATGGGGCGGTGTTGAATAGATGAGGATGAAGAGGCAGATGGGATGAGGATGTGGATGACAATGAAGGTGGGATAGGGATGGGGATGAAGATGAGGATGAGGATGAGATGGGGATGGGGTTGGGGAAGGGAATGTAGGTGAAGATGGGATGGGAATAGGGTTGAAGATAAGGATGAAGAGGAAGAGGGGATGGGGATGTAATGGGTGAAGAGAAAGATGGGATAGGGATGGGGTTAAGATGAGAAAGAGGATGAGGATGGGATGGAGATGGGGTTGGGGATTGGGATGGGGATGGGGATGGGATGGGGATGAGAATGGAGATGGGATGGGGATGAAGATGGAGTGAAGATGAGTGTGAGGATGAATATGTGATGGAAATGGGGTTGGGAATGGGAATGGGGATGGGAATGAGGATGAAGATGGAATGGGGATGGGATGAAGATGGGGATGAAGATGAAAGTGAGACAGAGATGGAGATGGGATGGAAGATAAGGATGAAGAGGAAGACAAGACGAGGGTATGGGTGAAGATGAGGATGGGATAGGGATGAAAATAAGGACGAGGATGAGGATGGGATGGGGATGAAGGTGGGATGGGGATGAGAATGAAGATGGAATGACAATAAGAATGAGAATGGAGGTGAGATGGAGATGGGGGTGTAGATAAGGATGAAGAGGAAAATAAGGTGAGGATGGGGATGAAGATGAAGATGGGATAAGGATGGGGATGAGATGAGGATGAGGATGAGATGGAGGTGGGGTTGGGGATGGGGATGAGAGTGAGGACTGAATGGCGATGAGAATGAAGATGAAGATGGGGTGGGGTTGAATAGACGAGGATGAAGAGGTAGATGGGATGAGGATGTGGGTGAAGATGGGATGAGGATGAGGGTGAAGATGGGATGAAGACGAGAATGAGGATGAAAATGAGATGAGAGTGGTGTTGAAGATGGCGATGAAGATGGGATGAAGATGCAGATGGGGATGGGGGTGAAGATGAGGGTGGAATGAAGATGAGGATGAAGATGAGTGAAGGAAATGGGGAAGGAAACGAGGATGGAAATGGGGCCAGTGCAGGGAGCGGTGCCGGTGACGCCATGTCTCCATTGCAGTGGGGTTGGACGCTGCTGGCAAAACCACCATCCTGTACAAGCTGAAGCTGGGAGAGATCGTCACCACCATCCCCACCATTGGTGAGCGCCCAGCGCTGTGCAGGGCCCCTCTCAACGGGCACCCACAGCCCAAACTGCTGCCAGAGGGCACCAGCATTGGGTTGGCAGCGATGCTTTGGGCAGAGCATTGCTCTGCTGGGACATGGCTGGGCTCTGGTGCTCCTCAGGGGGTTGGGGACGTAGGGGGTCATAGTGGGGGTCACAGCATGGATGCTCCTGGGGCAATTGACTGGGTCTGGTTGAAGGTGCTGGGTGAGGGCTTCGGAGTAGGGGATGCTCAGAATCCCTCCTGGTGCTTTTTGGAGATGGTCAACCCGTGGGTGAGGATGCTCCTAGGGGGATGCAGCCACGCACTCAGCCCCCACCGCGGTGCTCCCCACCTGTCCCCACATCCCTCCAGGGTTCAACGTGGAGACGGTGGAGTACAAGAACATCTGCTTCACGGTGTGGGATGTAGGAGGCCAGGACAAGATCCGGCCCCTCTGGAGGCACTACTTCCAGAACACACAGGTAAGTGGCACAGCACCGGTTCCAACCATCCGGATGGGACCACAAGGATGTACCCGTGGGGAAAGAAGGCTCTGAAATAAGAAAGTCCTTTGGTGGGACAGTGGGGGCGACACCCTCCCACAGTGCTGGGGGTGTTTGCGCTGCGTGTCAAAGCCCATGCCTGCTGCAGACTGGCTTTTCCCATAGGGTCTCATCTTTGTGGTGGACAGCAACGACCGGGAAAGGGTGCAGGAGTCTGCGGAGGAGCTGCAGAAGATGGTGAGAGGGGTGGGGGGACACCTGCTCTGGTGGTGGGATTGGCCCTGGGGACAAAGAGCTGTCCCCAAATTGGGGCTCCCTGGCCGTGGGGCTCGAAGGTCAGACTGCAGCAATCAGGAGCAATTGCAAAGGGGAAAACCAGCCGAGAAGACAGTGGGGTTTTGCATGCTGGGGAGCATGCTGTGCTGTCGTGCTGCTCCATCCCCGTTGGCGGTGCAGGGCTGGGAGGTCACCGAGCCCCATGGACAAGGAGGGAGCAATTTGCTGGAAGGGAGTTGCTTAGGTTCAGGATGATGCCCAATTTGGCCCTAGATTTCTGATTGAGTGGTTGATGTGTGAAGCATCACGATGGTGGGCGTGCAGGTATTGCACCTCCCAACCCATCTGGTCATGTTGAAATGGGACCTCTTAGAAAATATGGCCTGGAGAGAATGCTTGTGGCTAGATTAGTGAATGCTGCAGTTAATTAAAGCAACATAATTGTGTTTTGCAAAGCTTAATCGGAGAAAATGCTTTTGGCAGAAGGGTGGAAAAGCACTGACTCGGGGTAACAGGACACCTCATCTGTTCCAACAGTGTTCATCACATCCCTATAGGTCTCTTCCAACCCAAACCATGCTGTGATGCTATGAAGGTCACTTCCAAACCAAACCATTCTATCACTCCATGAATGTCCTTTCCAACCCCAAACATTCTATCACTCCATGAAGGTCCTTTCCAACCCCAAACATTGTATGACTCCATGAAAAGTCCCCTCTAACCCAAACTATTCTTTAATTCCATGAAGTTCCTTTCCAACCCAAACCATTCTATGACTTCATGAAGGTCTCTTCCAACCCAAACCATTCTGTGACTTCAT